TGGTGGCATTAACGTTGCAATCACTATTGGAGTTCAGGTTCTGAATCAGCATAGGTGCTATCTAATCATTTGTTTAGAAGTTTCAATGTTTCCTCAACACCAATTTATTTTTGACTAAGTTTCTTCAAAGATGATGACATGCCTTAGAAGTGATATGATACACTAGCTAAGAGAGAAACGTTACTTTCATTTAAAAACAATCATCGGTTAGATGATTGACACCTCATACTTGATAGAGATGGAAAGATGTGAAAATTCTAATTTTTTAAAATTAGTCTCCAATTAATTGAATGGAAAAAGTAGAGGGTCAAGCATACTTCCCTAAAGATGTTAGAAAAGGGACCTAATGCTCTAATAATTTAACCAAAACCCTAGTCTAATTCTAACTAAGAGATCATCATGGAACTCTGACCAATCATTTAAATAAGTGTTTTAAAATTAAATTTATAAATCCTAATTTCACTAAAATTATATAAATGAAATTTCTATCTAACAAATTCATTAAAATCTTTCAAATTTTTTTCTTTATTATAAACTCCTATCAAATTTGAGAAAAAAAAACAGTAGATAGGTGGTGGCCAATGGTAGATGTTGTAATTATTTTAATATCAGGATATGGACATTAGTTTGTGTCAGTTCATGCATACACAAACGGGTGCCACGCAGCTTTTGTACCGAAAAAATAACTCAAGAAAATTATTGCATTTTTATTTTATGTCACGTCTCATCATGTATTGAAATTAACTACAAATTTATTATTCTCACTGCAGGTGTTCCAGAGTCTGGTTAGGTTGCTATTCCCCAAATCTGTTATGCAATTTAATTTAATTTAATTTAAATAGTTAGATTGGGTTGGCTGCAGATCTTTTCCTAAATTCAAACTCAATAAGTGGATTTGATTATGTCTATAAAATTTTAATTAATTTAAAATTTTAATTATTTTCAGTTTATTTCCATACAATTTTTATATATTTATATTACATTTTTTCTTTTATTGGATAGTACACTTTTAAAGAATAAATTCAAATATAAGTATTTTACCATGAGACTGTGTTTCACTAACCTTGTAAACTGTGAATCTAAATGTTAGGCACTGTTTGACTTGATTAATTTGTTAGGCACTAGTTTATGAAAGCAATGACTTTTTTTTTTTTTTTTTTAACTTTTATTTATACAATGAGATATTGCCCTTTTAACTAATGAAAGAAGGTATGAAACCAATACTTGAAGAAGTGTAATTTACACAAATCCACATTCATTGATGAATTCTATAATTACATGTTTCATTTTTTTTAAGTATTAATTTTAGAAAACTAATTAGAAGGTATTTGTTGTAAAGCAAAATGAAGAAATTCATGAATTTATTTTCTTAAGAATTAAGATGAATGGTAATTTGTAAATTTTGTTTTAGTTTCAGAAAACACCTTTTAAAAACAAATATAATAACTCATAATTAAATATGATAATTCCACTTAGACTCATAGGTATTTGTCATAAATGTTCATTTAATAGTGTAGGTTGCATCACAAAGACTTTTATATTATATATAAACATTAATTAAAAAAATTCTAGAATCCTAAGTCTTTCCATTGTTTTTTCTCTCCGAATATGACCAACTTTTCATTCTTTGCTTAGGTCATAAAAAAAATCACCTATCCATCCCAATTCAAAATCTTCATAATCACAATACACAAACATGATGATAATTAAACATTTCTGTAAAATACCAATTTCAAAAGAAAAGTATAATAAATTTTGATTGGCATGAGATGGTAAATGTTTGAATTGTTTTAATCTCATGATGTGGACAGTGTGTTAGTTTTAGAAAAACAACTTTTTTTGTGTCCTCCACAGAAATAGGGTGTGTTTGGAAAGCTTGTGTGGAAATCAATAAAGTGAAGAAAAGAAGAAAATGACTTATTCCACCTACTACTTTATTCAACTTCATCTATATTTTGTATTACTTGTATTTTTTAATTTGGTGTCCATGAATTAATTTAATTCATTTTTATTTTAAATATATAATAATTTATATGACATAAGAAATAGGGTGTGTTTGCTACATTTGTATGGTTGTATCCATTGCTCCTTCCCCTTCCTTCTTCCTTCTCACCTTCAATAAATTAAAAACTGTACTTCTTGACTTTTCATCTACATTTTATCTTAATATAATTTCTCACTATATTATTAATTAAATAACATATTAAATCTTTAAAATAATACAATAACATATTGTTAAATGGTGTATATTTTTTCACAGTAACAATAAATCACAATTAACTCCACAAACTAAACTCTAGATGACATCATAATAAAGTATATATTATATTATTACACGATGGAACCCTAAGAAGGAATCTTAAGAATGTGAAAGAATCCATTGACTTGCTTTGGCAGCACTCTTTGACTTTGATCATTTGTTAGGCATTAGTTTATGACAGCTATAACTCTCTTTTACTTCTTTTTTTCATTATTCATAAAAATTGCATTTTTAACTAATCAAACAAACAATACACATAGAAGTGTAATATACAATAAATTTATTTTGTTCACATCATTGTTTTTTTTTTAATTTTTCAAAGTAATTATTTAAGCAAGCCATTCACATGAATAGTTAAGTAAGTGAGTAAAAATTAGAAAATTAAAATTACATACAATATAAATTTTTTAAAAATTGTGATAAAAAACTACTGTATTTTAGATCAGGATGAGGTGATTTAAAGTGAATTGTGAGATTATTTGAATATAAAAAAAGATAATAAATATGAAAAATTTGAGTGAATTTATTGTAATTAAATGTGACTAAATATAAAAAATTAAATAATATTTTTTTTTGTTTAATGATCAAAATACTCTTATTATTAAGATAAATTATATCGAATGTAGTAGCTAACATAGTATTTTTGGACAATTTATCATATTTTATTTATAAATCTAACTATTTCTTCCCTCAAATGTGACCGTTTTTCATTGCTTGAGACTCACACAAAAAGAGGAATATAATAAAATTGTATACTAATTATAATATATTAATGAAAATAATTCTTATTTTAAAAATATTAAAAAGTAATAATAAAATTGTGATGAGTGAAAGGTAAAAAAAAAAATTAAAAAAATACAAAAGAGTCTAACATTTCAAAAAACAGAAACATAACATAAAGAAATGGCATGATTTTACATATTTTAATATAAAAAAAATTACAAAATTGAAACAAAAGCTTTTACCGCAAGAGTGAAAAAAGCGCGGAAAGTAATTTTTTTTTTTTTATACTTTATGTCCTCATTTACATACATAATCAATTATACACAAAGACATAATTATCTGTTGAAAAAATTAATAATATGTATTTATATTTTTATTATAATAATAAACAATTAAAAAGTTATATTAAAAAATTATAATGCAAAATTATTAATAATAAATAAATTAATTTAAGTTTTCATTAATTTCTATTTTTTTTAATCTAACAATACCAATTTCCATCCTTTTTCTCACAAATTTTTTTTCACCCCTCAAATCAACTTAAAAGTTTTAGAATGATGAAGGGGACCACATAGTTGAGTGTTTTTGGCTGTGTTATACGGTTCCTGTCGGTGCACATATCTCCTCTCACCGCGTTAACAAATTATATAAAATTTGGAACATTCATATAACCATTCCCACTTTATAAGACTTTACAACGCCACAAATCATACACTTTTCTATATATTAAACACAGAAATTACCAAAGGAATAAACAATTCATAAACTCCATAAAGAAATTGATGAAATCAGGGTCGAGTTCATCATCGTGATTCCAAATCCTAAAGTGGTTGTTCAAGGAGTTTGCACATCAATCATTTGACTTTCTTTCTTTTTTTTTCTCCTTTTGATTTTAGTAATTTGCATAATGCCACATTCAAATTGCTTAGATACAAGACAACCCACAAAAGAAAGACATTGTTTATTTCAAACCATGAGTCATGTTTTCAATGTCATCAACTTGCTTACTCTTTGGTTTTTCTTTTCTTATTGGCATAATTATTCTTCCATGATTTTTTTTTTGTGAAAAATATTTTAAATACAAAGCGTTGAATATCATAAATAAATTTCAAAATCACAAATTTACAAAAGCCTTTTAAAATATACAAATTTGAGTTTCATAAACATTCTCTATGTGGGTAAAAGCTTTTTACTTTCAATCAGTAAAAGAAGTAATTTTTATATAATTTTCAAAATAGTTATTACAAAAAGTAAGTAGTCTTTGTCTTGATAAAATAAAATATTTGTATTTTACAGTCTAACTGTGAATTACCAATATAATATTATTTAATTTTTATAACGATTATTTTAAAAGTCAATCTTTTTATAATATTTGGAAAATTTTATTGTAACATTATACATGAAATAAAATTTTACTACAAAAAAATTATTTATAGTAATGTTGGGTAGTAATTTGTGATTAGTGACAGTGTAAAAGACATGCTTTTCAACCATCCATCTAATATTTAAATCTTTGGTGAGATAAGTATTAGATATTAGTATTTATTTTTCAATTAGTTTCACATTAAACATTGACTAAAGCTATGTTAAGAATCTCACCCAGAAAGAAAATTGAAGAATTAGAAGGTTTAGATTAACACTGAGATCAACAAAAAGGGAAATAAGTTAAACAGCAAATTGGAAATTCCCATATTTGCATTGCAGAAGTGGTGTGTGTGTGGAATAAAGTCAAATTCCTGTATAAGCTTAAAAGGAAGAAACCCATTTTCTTATTTATGTTTTCCTTGGAAATCAAAATAATAAAAATCTCACTCTCATAACCATCCTTCCTTCTGTAGTTTCTTACTTCTATCCATATTCAGCTTTCCTTTTCTTCTTCCAAGATCACATTTTTCTTTGACCCTTTTCCTCCCTCTCTCTCTGAAATTCCCCTCTCCATCCACTTCCTCTTTAAGTCAATTTCATGCTTCTCTGTCTCAGATCGTAGATCTTGCTGTCGGTGGGTTGATAGGAGTAGATGTCGCCGTCAAACGGGTTGCAGAACGGCGGCGGCTGCGGCGGTAATGGGTTGAGTTACATAGAACACCAGGTTTCAAAGCTTGACACGCTTGCTGGTGTGGCAATCAAGTATGGAGTTGAGGTAAATTTTTCTCTATGTTTCTGTTGTGGATATTGGTTTGGTTTTTTGGCTTCTTACCTTGAATTTGTTCCGGCATGGTAAAGCTGGTTGCTTTTAATATTTTTTTGTTTTGGGTTATGGAGTTTTTTTTTTTTTTTTTAAAGTGTGCTAAAATGTTTTTTTATTTAGTTTAAGGGTTTTACATGTATATGAACAAGAATACAAGATAAAGATTTCGTGTGTTATGTGGTGGTTTTCTAGATTCTCTGTTTTTTATTTGGAGGGATGGAGGTTTTGTGTTTGTGTTTTGTTTTTTATCCTTTGGGAGTAAGCTGATCTGACACAACCATTTGAGTCAAGTACCTCAGTATTTCCATTAATAATTAGTAATGCCAATGGGGAGGGTGTATGCAAGGGGTTAAACTTATAGTTTAGATGGTTTTTCGTTGTTTTGAATTATTTAATCCGTGATTACTTCTTTGTGTTTCATTCTCCACTTTTAGGATGTTTTTGGTGATATATTGAAAGATTATGAATAGGAACATAAGGACGAATGAAGGGTTTTCACTTTTGACAGCTGTTTTATGGGAGAAAAGTTGCGAAAATGGGAACAAAGAATTTATCCCTTCTATCTGACTGTGGCCTTAAGTATGGAAGGAGCAGGTGTTTTGGAACTTATACATTCTAGCCACTTATGAATGTTTTCATTTGTTCTGCGTTGGTTTAATCACTTTATGAGCATAATGCATTCTCTTTTAGAAATGCCATTGTATAGCATGTCAAATCACATTTCTATTGGCACAATACATTTTTTGAGATGCATGCACCTCTTTTGGATTGTTTTAAGAGTAAATTTATGTGGAACCGTGATAAATTGCATAATAACTGACATGATGTTCATGCATGCATTGCTTTAAGCTCTCCGATAACATGATACTGAAATCTTCTGATAAAATTTCCTTGTAATGATTTAGGTAGCTGACATCAAAAGGATGAATGGGTTAGCCACAGATCTTCAAATGTTTGCACTGAAGACATTGAAAATTCCATTACCAGGACGTCATCCACCATCTCCTGCTCCTGGTCCTCACGGTGAACCTGCCAAGTTGGGGTACTACTATTGTACTCATTTCAGTTTTTTCCATAAGTCATTTGCAATAGTTAAAGGCTTTTGTGAAGAAAGCTTTGCAATATCTTACAATTACAAGAAATCTACCCATCCCAATCTACTCCTTTTAGATTTTGACAGCAGTCCTTGTCCTAAGTTGAAATTACAGAGCAGTTTAATGTGTTTTCACTCGGTTATTTTCTTCTACTATTGATATTGTGAATTTAAACTTGCATTGGGTCTGTATCTGATATGCCTGTTCTAATCTTCCTTTTTTTATTTTCCCTTTTATTGATCTTCGTTTTTAAGAATAGATTACAGAAAGTCTCCTGCTGAATATTTTAAGTACAGTGAATGTAATAGCTCGATGATGAAGTTTAAGGTTGATGCTTAGAATTTCTTTTGGATAACATAGCTTCAACAACAAGTCACTTTGATTTAAGATTCTGTGCTGGATTATGGAAACTCATTTTTTAACTGAAACTCATTGCAGAGAGTCTAGTATTGAGAAGAAACCCCTACGCATAGGTCAATCTGCCAAGAAGGAACCTCTTCAGTCCTTAAGACTGAAACCTCCTCAACCAAGTATTTCTCCAGCTATGAGCATTTTACAGAAATTCTATGGCCTCAAATCTTCAGATTCAAAAGATACATTCAATGGAACAGAAATGGCAGTTTATACATCTGTGAGTTCTGACCATTCTAGAGGGGAATGGCTTCCCAAGGCTTTACCAATTTCAGACCTGCCATCAGCTACAAATGATTACCCCAAGTCAACAAATACAGTGTATGATCTACTGACAGGGGATGGTGATTACGTGCCCCTTGCAGAAATTGGGGACGGGGGCTGTGAGAAGTCCGATGAGAAATCTGTCCGAAGACGTCAGAAAGCTGAAGTTGATAATGGAGCCAGTACCCCAGAAAAGTTTTTGAAAGAAGGTAATGGTAATGGATCAAATGGTTTTTCTTCATCTGGAAAAACATTAGCCATGAGGCCGAAATCAGCAAGCAGAGCAGCACTCTTTCCTGAGTCAGAATCAGGATGGTTAGATTCAATTCCGGTGGGGTTAGGAGAATCTATATTTACTGATGGCCTCTCTGGAGTGCGCAAATCGTCCAGTGCATCAAGCCTCAGAGAGCAGGAAAAGAACAACTCTGCAACAGCCTGGCCACCGGCTATATGGAACTTGAAACCTGACTTGCAAGCAGCCATTTCCAAGCCTATCTTTGATGGTTTGCCTATCCCGATTACTGGCCGCAGAAGCAAAGCCGCCCTTGATTAGTGTAAATTGATTCCCTTTTGAGCAAATTATTTTTTGACATTACATAAAAACATAAATTGCAACAAGATGCACATCTGTTTTGGCTTAGTAAGCCTGAGCAAAGAAGGTAAAGAAAAAACAAAATTATACAACTAGGATATTTATTTATTCCAAGCCTAGGAAGGGGTAGATGACCTCCTAAGGAGAAAAGTTTCAGCAGTAAGCAACTGAGGAAAAGCTACATGGAAATGTTAAGCAACTGGTTTTTTCAAATGTGAACCAATAATGTAAATGGTCAACCCCACTAGGGTTATAAAGAGTTATTTTACAGATCGATAATTACCTTTGTTAAATGATCTGGAGTCAAGTGAAAGTCACTCTGTGCAGTTGTTATCTGTATCAGGTTATTTATTAAATACATTATGTAAGTATTTATGATGTTTTTTCCTCGGACCAATTATACTGCAATACCATTCAATTTGTGTAAACCATGTATACATGGGTACTCTACTAGCATGTGGGTGTATGCATCGTATGTTGATTCTTTGATTCTGTAGTTTTGCTTATTACATGTGCTATTACCTTGAATCTTTGGCAAGACTTTTAGAATTGAAAGTATGTAATGAAAACATTTAAAGCTACACAAAGCGGTCCATCCAATCATGGGTAATTGTAAAAGATGGTTGTCGTGTTCATACGCAAAGCTTGGTGGTTGCGTTTTGACATAAAAGTACTTGGAAGTTGTCATGACACTTTGTTGGATGGTGGAGAAGCAATGCCAAACAACGAGTTGAAGCTAAACAACGGATTAACTCACATGCGCCTTCCTCCTTTCTGTCACACCTGATAATGACAACGGCACATGGCCCAGTCACATTACCTACACGCATGGGAATTTTTATTTGTTAATAGTGATTTTCCCTACAGAATTGAATAAGGAGATTCTTTCGGTGTCAAAACAAGCCATCAGATTCTTATTGGTTTGCTCTGCATCGTATGTCACTAATCCTGTTATCACTCCCTCCATTCCTTCTACTGTCTACTTTTCTAAAAACATAATTTTATTTTTAAGAAAAAGTTGACAATTTTATATCAAGAACGTAGAGACAGAAAATATAACATTAAGAAAAAGTTGACAATTTTATATTTCTCAGTTACTGCGCAAATAAATAAACTCAGGGGCTATTATTTTTGGAAATGAAAGAGTATCATTATCTTCTCTTGTTTCCTTCATTCAACGTGTCGATTATTTATTTATTTGAAAGTAAATATTAGGCTATTAGCCACAGCTATATGATTTGTTCGGTTCGGTTCTAAAAGTTGTATTAATGGCAAACATGTGGTACCAAGCCGATAAGTTAAGTTGGCATTAGACTTAAAGTCATAATAAACTGTAGTAAAGAGAAAAAAATCCCGAAAATGACCTCAACTAATTCTACATATCAAAAATGGTCCAGAATCTGTAAACAGACATTCAGCTCTCAAGTTCACTAGAAAGCTATCATTTCCCGCAGAGAAATCAGTCTTTGTTTTGGCATTTTTGGGCTTTTGGGGAAGGGGGTTACCACCTGTTTTTAGGAGGTTTCACTTTATAAATACGAACTATCCAATTCTGTGTAGTGAATGCCTCTTCCAAGTACTCAAGCTTTATGTCCTTATTTCCAATCTCAACACCTCTAGCGCGATCATATCTGTCATTGCAAGACATGTAGTTATAAACGATGTTCATTATTACATTACACAGAAATAGTACACTTTAAAATCATCATTCAGGATTGTCATTGGACAAACGAATACAAGAATTCATGTGATTCGTTTGAAAGCAATAACAAGAATGTTGCAAGAAACATTTGGCTAAGAAAATTTAACAGGTTTGATATAAGGCTGTAATTTGAACTCCAGAGATTCTGGCAGTAAACATATTTCAATCTAACTGCCAACAACAATGCGTATTTACATGGGCTGCTACCCTAAACTTATGCATAACATAGGCCTTTCGTACCTTGGATGAATAATTATAATAAGACTAAGAGACTTGTAAAAGTACAAAAACTTGAAACATAATTTGGATATCTTTAACAAATGAGATTTCCATATAGCTAGCTAATCATGTGACATAGATTCTTCCTATTGCAATTGTCAAAACTACTAATGTAAGGAAACCAGATATCCTGGTGTCATTGTAAAAACTGTACCAACAAGAACTATGCAACTTACCCAGGTGGTTTGCCATATTCTGTTGAAAGCTCCCCAAACCGATAATAACATAGCTTGTACCTAAGAATCATAGATAAAGAAAAATACAATTAAATTCACCTTTATCAGTTGATTACGTAATCGTATAATTTAAATACCAGCAAATAATATTATCCTGATGTCCTGAACAATATCCTTTTTCTATTTTTTTTTCTGTGCTTAAAAATATAGGACCTGATTCACACCGCGGAAGCACTAAGGTAGCATTTCCCCTTGCTTTCAGTTAAAAATTTTACTTAAAAAAAACTGTTTGACCGTGTGTACTAGGGATCTTGGGATTCTAAATAAATATTAGACAAGGAGAAGAAGCTCCTAAAATACCTGATCAAAAACTCTTTTTCAATGTCATTTTATAATAAAAAAAACACCCCATTTATTTCAAGAGCATCTAAACATTGTTTTGCACGCCTTCTCTGTCTAAGGAAAAGAGAAGCCCAAAATAAGGCAAATCACACACTAACTAGGTAAACCCAAACTCACTGAGCATAGGTCAACAATGTTTACGAATTTCAACTTTACTGTCACTCAATTTCATCTCGTCAATTTTAGTCCATAATTCTCTATTTTATACCAAAACCCAAACACATACTTTATGGGGCTAAATTAATAATACTACAAAACTTACATAAGACAGTTCAACATCTTTGGAGCTGCTCCTTTATCTACACGATATTCTCCATTAACAAGATAATCAGGTTCCTTTATCACAGGAAAAACTCCACCACCAATTCTCACCATCCAAAGAAATCTACACAAAAATTGGGAATATTTTTTAAAAGTATCCAAGTATTATAGCAGAGAAGATAAAATACTAGTATCAGTACAAATTAAAAATAACAAACAAATAAAAATCAGAAGAAAAACCGCAATGTTAATTAGCGGGACACATTCAATAAGTGTATACTTGCATCTTCAGAGAGGAATAAAATTTTACAGCAGAAAAATCTAACAACATACGATCCACACTTATTTCAACAAGTCAAATCATTAGAAACCAAGAGATAGTTTTGCTCGCCAAAACATTACAAGACCACCTATAAAGCCATGAGATAAAAGTATATTTTACAAAGTTTTCCTAGTTCATGTTTCCATCAAAATGAGCAGCCAATCTGCATCAACTAGCTGATGGAATGTCTGTAAATTTTTATTTTCTGAATAATTTGAAGGCTAGTACACACACTACTGCTATGAAAGGGGAAGTAATACACCGACTATTGAAATGAGAGATCAGCCTAAAAAATAGAGAATGAGTAATGTTACCTAACAATTTAATGGCTTGAGTTAGAGTGACCACACTTAAAAAACATCTATATGGTTTTAAAATTTTATCCTAAAAAAGTGGTGAAATCACCCTTTTTGACAAAATTTCCAAGCAACTGTTTTACACCTTTGAGCACATATGGTCAACAACTCTAATGAAGCCACCTGTACAAGTTTTGTGCAAAGTTCTGAATGCATGGATTATCTATGTAGTATTTTTCATGAAGAAAGAAGCGCATGCATTATGTAAACTTCGATATAAAAGCAAAACAGAATACTTCATATGGCCTTACTTATTAATATCATCAGAAGAATAACCAGTAACACCACCAAACACGACTAATACATAGTCAACGTCAAGCGATCTCATTATCTCATAAGCCTCATCCTCATAGGATGACATTGCTCGCCCAACAGTAGCTATGTGAGTGTTGTTCCAGGTGTTATTGTCAACAATTACAGTTCTGTTTCCCATGGCAGTGATTTGATAACCATAATCCCACCATGACATCACCTTGGCATCTGGTGGAGTGTTCTGGCGAAGCCAAAAGTATGCCTCACGATAGTCATCAAAGATGACCCTTTGTCCATGAGAACCCCTCGCAGCCAAGACAATTGAGGGTGATGAGTAAGCCTCTGATGTGACCCAAGTGCAGTGAATAGCATATCTACTGAGCAAATAGAAAGCACCAAGGAGTAACACAATCGCCCCATTCTTTTGGAAAGGCTGGGAGTTGTCCACTACACCCTAAACAACAATAAGCATACACCTATTATCAAATTGTCATATGAACATTCACTGCAATAACATTCGGAGATAAAACAGCATTCTAATACAATATTTGATATTCTAGCTGAAAAAAGATGAGCAGGTGAAGTTACATATAATTATTGTGAAAGAACATGACAATTATCATACATGCTGTCAGGTGCACATTAGCATTTTAGTAATTATTCTCGTTGATATATACCAAACAACAAAGGGTTCATCTTTCTTGTAATTAATGAAACGAAAGTAGGTGGGCAAGATTGAATAATGGGAACACTCTTTACTGGATTAGCAGGTGATTAAAAGGTTGAGCAAATAATTCAACACAATAATGCAACTCATCTGAAGAAGCCTTTTACTAAACGAGCTACTTAAAAGAATGTAACCTTGGAAGAACTTTTTGCAGCGCTAGTTCCTTTAGTAGATCCACTTTGAACAGCTGGACTCTTGGCCCTCACTACCCGTGTCAAATTCTTCACGGTGGCAGAAACCGCAATAGCACTAATGAGGCACACAGCAGGGGTAGCAACAAGAATCAACCGAACCATAACCCCAGCAAAATACATGCTTGTAAGACCATACATAACTAAAAAGATCGTGGCATCAGACAAGCGCTTGAAGCAAAAATAGAGACCAGCAGGGAAAAGGAACAGCAAGATATGGAAATCAAACATGAAAGATGACCAAGCAGTTGGCTGATGCTCAGAGACAGATGCAATAATCGGAATGTGATCCTTAGCATACGTTGGATCAAGCAAGGAGTAAAACCTCCCAGTCCATGGAGAAATATAACCAGACGCCATGCCCACTCCCAAAGCAACAGCACCAACAGCAACCGCACTGGTCACAGTTATCTTCAAAAAGGCCTGAAACAACTTAGTGTCACTGAGCAAATGCCTCACCCAATCCAAGAAGAAAAACACCTGCAGAAACAACCCAAGTTAGACACTAAAGAGAAAAACATCTACCATAAAAGGACAAAACTTAAGCGTAGTTCCTAATGTTCTTTCACTCTTGTTCTTTAATCAATAATAAATTTTCAACTTAGTAATCTATATTATTGGCCTTTAATACCAATATTCATTATGTTAACTAAATTGAAATTCGAATTCGATTGATGAGCAAAGAATTTAAATTTTCGTCAGAACCCTAAATGAAGCCATAATTGTGGGTGCGATCCCATCGTAATCCTCAATATTGCAGGAAATTATAGACAGATGCAGCCACATTCCCAAAAACCTTGGTATTGTGGTTGAAATTGCAGTCAGAGATTCCAAAATTCTTGGCATTGTGAGCGACAACGCAATTGCAGCGCACAATCCAAAAAAAAAAAAAAGGCTTGACATTGCAAAAGAAGAATGTGGCCATAATTGCAGTCACGGAGATCCCAAAAACCTCAACATTGTAGCCAAAATAGAAATCGCAGACCATTAATTGTGGCCCACAAATACAAAAATCTCGACATTGCAGCTAAATTACAACTGCAAACTACTAAATGCGGCACAAAATCCTAAAAACCTTGACATTGCAACCGACATCATGGCTAAGATCAATTATCTAAAACCTCATCAAAACTACCTAAAGAACTGCATCTAAATTTTGTCCCAGATAAAATCCTACAGACATTTGTCCAAAATTTCCTGCAACATCAAGGAGAACATCAAAACTGTCACCGCAATTTAAAACCTTGGTGGCGCATACACTCAGAAACCCGCAGCCAAACCCACAGCCACACATTGTCAATTGCGGTGCAGAAATCCGAAATCACAAAAAACTTCATATAGTGGCCAATTCGCATCCCGAACCTTTTTTATAAAACCTCATCAAAACTAACCAAACGACTGCATCTATTTTCATCCCGGATAAAAATCCTAAACACACAAACAAAGATAGAGAAAATAGAGAAAAAAAATCAACCTGCAGCAAGAAAAACACGCCCATTGCCCCCATGTGTTCCCCGGACTGCACATGCTGGAACCCCACAAACCTAATCTGCATTGCCAGCAGCATCCCCAACACATACATGCAGTTATACGCCACATACAACCTCAACGAGTACCTTCCCGTCACAAGCAGCACCAGGACATAAAGCGGCACCAAATTGATTATAAAAACGTAACCTCCCCACGCCGACACCATGTAGAAGTACCCAAACGCCGAACCCAAAGCCCACGCCAGCGAACCAGTGTTCACGGCCTTCACAAAGAGGTAAAAGGTCAGCAACAGCGCGAAGATCGCCACACCCTCGTTGTCGTATGACCCGGCGACGGAGCGCGAGATGTAGCCGGGGCAGATCGCGATGAGCGCGGCAGCGACGATGCCGGCGCCGGAGTCCCAGATCTCTTTGGCGAAGAAGTACGCGACGAGGGTGGTGTTGGAGGCGAAGAAAGGGGCGGTGAGAACGCAGACCTCGCGGATGTGGACAGCGAAGCGAAGGAAGCGGAGGAGGGAGTGGATGGCGGCGGCGGTGACCATGAGACCGGGGTAGAGCGTACCGCCGATAATGCGGCCGAGCGGGTACCAGGACTCGGAGTCGAACCAGTTCCAGAACTCGGCGAAGCCATTGCGCGTGAGGAAGAGCGTGGTGCGGTAGTTGAAGTAGGGGTCGAACTCATGGATCATGGACTCATAACGTAGGACGCTGAAGAGGCGCGTGATGAACGCGAGAACATAGATGAGGGCGAGTGTGGCGACGCGAATGAGGAGCTCCTGCTGCTTGGTTTTGAGCTTTAGGGTTTTGGGGAGCGAGAAGGAGTTGATGGAGGGTTTGAGATCTTGCGCCATTGGAGAGGGTTTGGAGGTCATAACCATTGGTGGATTCAGGGTTTCATGGAGGATTTGGGATTGGAATAGGAGTGCAGTGGATCTGAATCTGATTTGGTGATGGTACGAAGGAGAGTCAAGGTCAACGGTCTGTTGGGATGAAGGAGAAGGAATGGGATTTGGATAGTGGAGATTCCAAACTCTGCTATTCGATCCAAAATAGTGCACTCTCACTCAGGTATCACTGTCATCAACACTCAACACATTATTACACACTCTCTTTTTTAATTAACTGTGGACTGGATTGGATTAACTAATTAGTTGTATTTGTACGTACAACGTTTTATAAATAATTGATTGACTTTGATTAATTAATTTCATTGGGATGAAATTAGAGGTGTTTAAATCAAAACAAATACATTTTCTGTTTATCTTGTGAGAGTTGTTCATTAATATAGTATTTATTAATTAAATTGTTCGAATAAAATTACTTTAGAATAATTTACCTTAAGTACTTGTTCTAAAGGTAAGCTAAACAGACATATTGTGTTGACATACATTTGCACTTTTCTAATTTAAAAAATGTCTTGTAAATTAAATCTTTTGTCCTAGTCTATTAACATATTAATATACGCATTTAATTAAAACTGTATAATAATTTTTTTATTTAATAACATGCTTTTATTATAGATAAACTGGTTGAATGTAGTATAAAAAATAATTTTATTAATAAAATTTTACTAAAATATTATATTCAAGAGTCACTGTATTTATCTGTTACGAAAAACATGCGTGCCAAACAGAATCTTAATCAAAAAATACATTGCAGCTTAGCAGCCGTGAGATGAATCCACCGTCCAAAAAATCTGCTGCAGAGAATCTAAAAGAATGTTGCTAAAATAAATAATCATGCCTTGCCGTTAAGTTTATTTTTTCCATACTGCTACATATCATACATAATAAAAGAATAATGTAGAAATATGTGGAAGTAATGGCATTCCAAAGTCTTTGCTTTGGTCTATCTTAACAAGAGTTAATATGCAACCTCAAAGTGACCGCGGGTGATGTTACATGTGTTCGTCTATTACCCATCTAACTCCAGTGTAAGTGAAACCTCGATAACGTTTAGATACGGCATTTTAAGTTTACGTCAATTTAGGTCCTGGAATTCATTGGCTGAGGATACGCATTTACAAATTAAAGCCATAAAAACTGGAGTTCAGAGAGAATGTTTCAAACTTCCGCAAATAAAAAACATCTTGAATTTTATTTTAGTGCACCTCTCGTAACTTAGAAAACCAAAAAAAGGAAATACAACCCATCATTACCAATGGGAATCGATAAATTTTGAACATGTCATAAATAATCGAAACCAAAATGATATGATGAAATTAAATTAGCCCAAACTATTGCACCAAACCCTTCTTCTTGAAAACATCTAGCATGGCAGCTCCAATTTTGGCAGGGGACTCCACAACTGTCACCCCAGCTTCCCTGAGGGTTCTAATTTTGTCTTGTGCAGTGCCCTTGCCGCCCGAAACAATAGCTACACAAGCAAGGATTTATGTCATAAAAATGAAGATCTAACTAAATTAAAAGGTGATATTGCTTTATTGTCGTCACTAAACATGCCATTTTCCCATGCTAACTTCATCAGTTTTAAAATGTAATGATAGTTTTCACAATACATAAGATGATAAATCACTCAAGGAACCTTTCAAATGATAAAGCTAATGGAAACACCCAAAAACAGAAAAAAAAAAAAAAAAAAGTTTTAACACAACATTCAAACGAGGGACACCTAAGCTCCTATAAAATCCCACACACAATTCATCCTTGCCCCCCCTCTGACTCCCACACCTCAGGTTCACACACCTCCAACTACACACTCCTTACTCTCCCTCCTCTCCTTTAGTACCCTTCCTCATGCAAACCCAAGTACCAAGGGATCTTTAACATATTTTCATTGAAAGCTGGAATAAACCTAACACATGTTACGGACCTGGTTTCAGACAATCAAAACAGTTTATGTAAGCATAGCCTCTAATGAGTAGTAGCAAGAATGGGTTCAAACCGACCTTGAGAAAGTGGCTTAAGCATCCCACTATTACACCAAGATTGTTTGTTTATCATCAATGATACTCAGTAAGATGCTCGGGCAAGTCTATATTTGTTGGGATAGCGGGGTAAATTTTTACATTCAACCAATCTTCAATGGTTTCAAAACGTTTTGAACAAAATAACATTGCATACTTAGTATTCTCCAGCTTATTGCTGTTTTTCATACTCGTAAATGAATTTTTATGTAAAACTTAAAATACAATCTTTTGGCATATGAAATCAAGTCTATTCTAGATTACGCCATGCTGTGTCCATTTCATGTAGTGTACTGCATTATTTTATTATACCACAGCATGCAAATAATATTGCAACATAAATCACAAATATCAACACAAACTACAAAATAAAAATTTGGAAATCAGATGCCACAGTAAAAAAAGAAACAAAACAAGCCCAAGAAGCATGCTGCCTAATTCCGATGAACAAAAGAAACATGTCAGAATGATATTTTCTCTCAGAAGCCATCAATTAAAAAACTTTGGAAATAATCTTACCTCCAGCATGACCCATTCGACGGCCAGGGGGGGCAGTCAAACCAGCAATAAATGCAACGATAGGCTTCTCAGTCCCGCTTTCCTGTATATCCATTCATAAAATAAATTTAAAAACTTATGAAAAGATAAAAGATAACAATGAGCAGGTTTTACTGCTCAGATATGATCAATTTCAACTTAATGTTGGCCACATCATATGATCAAATAAATAAATTTATATCTTTTTTAATCCAATTTCTATCAAAGTCCATTAACAAGACCTAAAATTGTTAAAGTTAAAAAGCATATCTTAGACCGGTTGACTGGTGTCCCTTCCCCACTAGACAGACGAACTTATTTTGATTTACAGGATAAACTGATAACTACTTAAAAAAATGAGTTCATGCACTGATAACAATTAAAACGGAACCTTAATTAGTGCAGCAGCATCCTCTTCTGCAGTTCCTCCTATCTCTCCTATAAGAATGATACCTGACTTGCACAAACAAACAGTAATAATAAATTACATTATCCCATTAATCTTACAGGATCAATGATAGGAAAAGAAACTATGGACAAAAGAAGACAGAACCAAGGGTCATGGATAAACATATCACATAAATATATATGACAAAATAAAACATGACAAAATACCTTCTGTTTGAGGATCAGCTAGGAACTTCCTAAGGCAGTCAACAAAGTTTGTCCCATTAAAGGGATCTCCTCCAATACCCACACAAGTGGATTGTCCGAGGCCAACAGCAGTTGTTTGGAAAACCTGAATAGTAGAGAACAAATATACGGTTTATTCATAGGTAACCATGTATCATATCATCAAAGAACAATTTTCAAAGGCAATAATTACCAGGGACAACCCTGCTACTCAAATAATAAAAAAGCATCGGTTTTTCCATTTTCAAGAGGCTAAGCAACTAAAATTTAAAAAGAAGCATGACGGTTAAATTTTCTTTCATCTTGTCATAATGTCAGTAAATTGTTCCAAACAATGAAGCGAGTTGCTTATTATGCCAAACACAGTTGAGGGAAAAAAATTAGGACATGAATCGTGATGATATCACAGGTGGAAGAAAAGATTCAGCGGAATCCACAATCAGTGAAAAGAAACATAATAGACAGAACTTATTCTAGTACAATGGGTCAATCTTTTTATATGTTAGGAACACATCATTATTCCTCAGCAGGGGTGCATCAATTTAATGTTTTTAACCTAATCACCATACATACAGCATTATCAATCTCACAAACTATTCCAACAACATAGATAGTCTTTGCCTACATGAAAACAAACACTCACCGCTTCATATGTCAAGGTGCCAGAACGAGAGACAATTCCAATGCGACCAGGCTTATGAATATATCCTGGCATGATTCCAATTTTACATTCCCCGGGCTTGATAATACCAGGGCAGTTTGGTCCTATCAGACGAGTCTTGGACTGCCTGTTAAGTGCTGCCTTAACCCGCACCTGAAATAGAAAAATATCAACTTCAGCCGCTACACTCAACTGGGCAGCAAAGCTCCCAAAGTAAACCACACAAGGCCTTTGACATTAGCCCATTGTTGGATCTGATTTCTCTAAAGTAAGCAACTGACTTTAAAGGGAAAAGTATGTAATCTCGAAGATGTTTGAATAGACTTCTCCATTAAAACTTATGAGACAAGAAAATAAGAAAAATAAAAAAAAAAACTTCTCTTTAAGTTAACAAAAATTAAAATCAGTTTAGAAAATCTAAAATGAAAGAAGTTCTATTTTATGCATACACTAATTTTAACTTGTAGGGGAAACTTATTTCATTTTTTATTTTTGCTGATATAAATGCTTAAGAAAAAGTGTTTGAATAGACAGCGCAATCATTGATTTAAATTCAACTCTTGGTAGTACATATACATGTTTAACAAACTAAAAATGTGTTAGAATATGAAGTATGATTTTACTAACATTGACCTTTGCTGCATTTAGGGGGAGCTAAATCCATCCCCCCCCCCCCGAAATGAATTACGAAATATCAAAGGCATCCATTAGCCATCATATGATCTATGCATTACACGAATACGTAGACAGACTACGTACCAAAATCACAAAAACAAAAACCTTAAACTGCAATGCGGATTCCATACATTGCAAACTGTGAATTCAGAATTCGAGTGCGAGAAACGACTCACCATGTCATGCTGAGGAATGCCCTCGGTGATGCAGACGACGAGATCCAGCTCAGCCTCCATGGCTTCCATGATGGCGGCGGCAGCGAACGGTGGAGGAACGTAGATGACGGAGGCGTTGGCCTTGGTTTCCGCCTTGGCTTCAGCGACGGTGTTGAAGACGGGAAGGCCCAAGTGTTCGGTTCCACCCTTCTTAGGAGTCACACCACCAACCTGTTGTATTAGCAGTTAGGGTTAGCAAACGCAAAAGTATGCATGCGATGGTGGCGTTAATGAGAAAGGAATAAAAAACCGAGTGGATCGAAATCGAAATGGAGAGAAATAGAGAGATAATTTAGAACGAACCATGTTGGTGCCGTATTCGATGGCTTGTTCAGTGTGGAAGGTGCCGTTCTTGCCGGTGATGCCTTGACAGATCACACGAGTGCTCTTGTCGACGAACACCGCAGGCGTGGCCGCCGAGAATTGTCGGAGTCCATGGCGGTGCGAGGCGATCGAGGACAGCAATCTAGTTACTGCTTGTCTTCCCATTTGTGTGTCTGTTTCTGAGTGTCAAAGAATGCGATTTCGTTTACTGCTATTGCTTGCTTCTTCCTAGCCAAAACCCAATACCCCAAATACCTGCCTCCTTCTTGGACTTCTTCTTACTTTTCAAACAACAATACACAATATTTAAAATGAGAAAACAAGATTTTAGGGTTAAATAAAAATTATGATGATATTTTAGGGTGATGAATATATGATATTTTTTGCTTTGACTGTCTGATAATATATTTTTAGAATATGTGATCAATTATAAAATTTTGATTTAAGTTTTTTCTTAAATAAATGTTGAATTATTTTAAGTTAACTTAAAATATTTTTAGATTTCTTTTTTCATCTCTAAACTTATTTTTATTTAATATAAATACATATTTCGAAATTATTTATCTTACATATAAATAAATGTTTCAAAATCATGTATTTTTCAATAAATGTATTTTTTATATTATTTAAATTTTATATTTCAAGTAAATTTTGATGGATACTTATACATTGTATTTCGGAGAAGAGTAGTGATATTTTGACAACTGAAATCATACAATTTTTCAAACAACTCACTTTTATTAATATAATAATCTATAGACTGATTTAAAAAAATAAAAATAAAATAAAATTATTATTATAATATTAAAACAGAGTTGTTTACAGTGAGTTATATGGATTTGGGTTGTCAAAGTATCATTTTCCTTTCAGAGAATTACTAGGCACGTCTACCTTGTTCTATTGTCAACCTTTTTTCATTTAATAAAAAAATATTAACATTTAAATAATTGTTTTATTAATCACTCCTGTAACACACAGTAGATTTGGTTTGATTTTCTCAGGGGAGGAAGGTATTCATTAACTTTCTGTTTTTGGATTCTGAAGAACTTTGTTTTGCTAGCAAAACTGTAGAAACATAATATTCTAATTTGTACCTTGATTTTAACTTTAAGTTTATTTAAAACTCTGTTTAGATTACAACATTTTCTGTGCATTGGGCCAAAGATATTGCAGTCTAATGATGTCTTGCCAAAAAAAGGAAGGGTGAAAACCCTACCCTCATCAAGTTAAGCTAGTGACAGTGTTCGATGAGGAATGGAAGAGTAAAAAGGATAGGAAGAAAAAGAGAAATGAAAGTAAAATTGTTTAAATTAAAAGAAAAATAACCGGAAAAAATTAGAGAAATAAAAAGAAAGTTGGTAAAAAACGTAGTTTTATTATTAAAAAAATATTTTAATAATTTTATTTTGAAAATTATTAAAATATTTAGTAAAAATGTTATTGTTATTAAAATTAAGATATAAATATAATATAAAATATAAATTAATAAAAATAAAAATAAATTAAAATTAGATATAATTTAATATAAATTAATTGACAATAAAATTAATAAAATTAAATTAATTTTATATATATATAAAAAATAAATTTATAATATTATAAAGATACACGCATATTTTATAATAATTCATAAATAAAATTAAATTTATAAGGATTAAATAAATATTTAATTTTTTATAAATAATTAAAATTAGTAAAAAATTATTAGTGTTATTTTGAAATTATATTAACTAAAAATAAATATAATATTTTAATGAAATAAAACAATAAACTTGACCTAATCATGTATTTGTGTAAAAGTTTAATATAATCTTCTATTGATAAATGTATGATTTCACATTAATTTTAAAAAAATAATTTTATAATTTTATTCAATTAGGTTATCTTTCCCCTGCTTTCTATTGCCTTCTACCTAGGTCAATTTTATAATTCTCTCCTTCAGTTCATTGCAAATCACATTAAATAAACAGAAACCACATCTCTTTCTTTCGAGGTAAAGAGTAAATAAGTTGATGCAAACACACCATAAAGGCCAATGGAAAAACAAGAATAGCACAAATACAGTTGACATTAATTCTGTTAGCATATAAAATTGAATCAGAAATGTCAATTTTTCATTTTTTTTTGTCTGATACATCACAATGAATTCCAATCAATCAGTAGAAGCTAATGAATCCCAATGAATTTCTTACAGGTAAATATCAGAAAGAACAGGGGCTGTTGGATCTTATATTGTGTGAAGTGAAATACTTAAGGTGTCATCATCAGCCTAAATGGAGATCTGTTTTTGAATTTTTAGGCTCCAGAAAACAAAAGGTTAGGAAAGGAACCAAGTTAGGTGCAACATAAGCTATCCTGGCGTGGCATAGTAATAATTATTAGCCCAAATGTCATGGTGTTTCCATTATATCATTTTCACAAAACTTCCATGATCCATCGTCTTGTTTCTTCATAGCATACTTAACTTTGTAAGTGCTGCAATCAAACAATAAAAAGATGATGTTAATAAACAAAATATCGAACATAGAAACCGGGATAGAGTGCTTTATTTTTGTTAGAAGGAAAATAAATATCAGAAACGGAAAGCCCATGCAAGAACATCTTACAGATAATAGTTAGGGTTTTTTTGCTGAGAACCGTCAATGAGTTCAGCTGCTTCCTCTAAGAGAGCTTCTATTTCTGCCATGTCAGCTCCGCTTCCAACTGACAGAATGTCAGCTCGAATGATGGATAACTTGAGCAAAAGAAATCTCCAGTAACAAGATTTTTCTTTTGCAGCATTGGCCAAACCTTTCCACTGTCAAGGATAACAGCACCAAATAATTTTTTGTAGTTACATGACTTTGTATTCTTTATAATTCCATTCTATCATTATATTCACAAGCTAACAAATATATGTCGCTTGTGAAAAGCTAACAAGAAAATATATGGTTGGGGATAACTTAATGATTATACAGTGAAATAGTGAATTATTGAACAATACCAAGTTGAATGCCATTTGACCATATAAAAGAAAAGGTTAAAATAAGCCACAACATGCACTACCTGAGCAAGCATAGATTCGTCAAGAACTTGAGCTAGGCAATTAACTACATGGCTAGGTCCCAATGCTTCAGCTTTGATTATTTGCCACTGCCTGACAATGGCTTCTGCTTCTTCCACAGGCATTGGCCTTCTGGAAAAATTAATAGTGGAGGAGGAGGTAAGAGTAGTTCGTAAATCACTATGATTTCGAGCACCTGACTGGTGCAACAGCTGTATCTTAAACATTGAAAGGATCCTCTTCAGTTTGTCGGTCACAGTGCTTTGCCTAATATAAGCTGGGCCTATAGGGTAGTCAGCTGAATCTGCAGTCCAATTAATGTTATCATTGGCTTTAGTAAAAGCCCAATGAGAACCAGTAAGACTCTTGCTTAGGCCAATTCCTGACAACTTAATGGAAGCAAATGCAATACAACCCAATACAGTAAAGTATGTTACTCTTTCAAATATGTGTCCTTGAGGGAAGTAACTATGCCAAATTCCTGAATTGCGATGACTACCAAGGTTCCTCTTCACTTGAACTGGTGACTCGATAGGATTGCTTACATTTTCATTTCTACCAGATAGCAATGAACTCCGCAAATCAGTAGGAGTCAGTTGCTTGACAGCAAATCCTAGATTAGGTGAAGAGCTAATGTATGAGCGAGATTCCTCAACATCTCTTCGTTCAAAGGAACCAGATGAAGATAGAGGTCTATGACATATAGTGGGCAACATTTGTTGAGCTCCTCCTTTAGAATTCTTGCTTCCAGAAAATTTCTGCTGCGCATTAAAGAAATGACCCTACAGAAATGGTCAATAATAAACATTAATTTTCAAAATCAAAGTAACAAACTAGTTGTTGGCTACTACAACTGATCTCACCAAAGCTGGAGAACAATCTTTAGTATCCGGATATAATGAAAGCACTGAATCCTTCAGCCACATTTCCTGCATATGTGCAGCAAGTCGTCTGATATAAGAAATTGAAAGCCTGAGATTTTATCATAGCCTCAAAATTAAAAAAATATAACATCAGTCTTGAAGCATTCAAGAATAGCTGTTATCTCTTGTAGAAACATAACAAAAACTAGAAAGATTTTTGAAGCCAAAAACACTAATATTTTCTGTCAAAGGAATTTCTTCTTCTATGAGAAAAAAACAATTAAACCAATGAATATACCTGTACGCCATTAAGAATTCGAGGCTAAACATTATATGACCATAAATTGTTCGGAAATACACTATCCTTTGAAATCCAAGTCAATAGTTAATTAAACAAAGTGAACATGTCTAATACATGTCCCAACAGCAACAAAAATAAGAATGAACATTGTAACAAGACAAATACCAATGACGGGTTTACAGCAGATGCATCCATTATTGCCTTCCCCAAGACTGAATTATTCTTGGTATTTGAGTTTAACTCAAGTTGTTTAAGTTTTTCAACCACCTCAGCCTCTGTACCCTAGAATTTAAGACAAAAGTAGCAACAAATTATACTGCCGATGCTCAACAACAATTGGAAAGGGAAGAAATAATTATTGCTGCTGGAAACCAAGATTCAAAATGTACCTCACCAAGTAGGAATAAGCAAAAGGATTCCTCAAATTTTAAATCAATACCCTCTGAAGCCATCAAACATTCACATATTCCTTTTGCTTTGTTAATCTGCATAAAATTAATAGTTTAATACAAACAATTAGTATCAAGATGAAATTCAGAAAGTTACTGTTTGAAAATATATGTCAATAAAACAGTATTTATAAAATGTGGACTATAACAGGATAGTTATAATATGCCTACAAGATTCAGAGAGGGTATTACCAAGTCCCTTTGCTTGCTGGAAAACCCAATCGCCATATGAGCTTTAAAAACTCTGTAGAAACAGTTAGAATCAATTACTGCCTTTAGATTCTGTGATTCAATAGTCTTCTTATTCTTTCGCATCAAAGCTAAATTATCCCAAGGAAGAAGATCAACTATCTCTTTAGCCAGCAAACTATCAAATGCTTGGGTTAGAAAGGAAGGCCAGTCCTGTACTTGACATGAAGCTTCAACATCAAGACCCTGCCTGAGCAATTCCCGCAGAGCTGAAATTGCACCTTGTCTTCGTTCAATATTTTCAGGAGCATGTGGCATGCTCAGTAGTTCCAAGGTGCAAGCAGGTGCAAGCTCTTCAAGAGATTCTTCAATCTAGAAACCATGACAAGCATCCTCAGGGTTGTGTTCCATGCCTAATATAGAGACATAATGTGATAACTCATACAAAAAAGAAGTTGATGTTTCAGGTTTGGTTTCCATTGTTTTTTAAAAGATAATCACTTTTTTTACAAAATCTCTACTGCCAAAAAAGTGGCTTTGCTTAAAAAATAAGTTGAAACATCACTATTATGGGACAGTAGATTGCCCAGTAAAAAGAGTATGAAATGGTTACATAAAATGAGGAAGTATGAAATTAAAATAGAATTGATAGGGTAATAAAGTTGCTAAAGACAAAAAAATATACCGAGATACTAAATTTGTATATTATTGTATTGCCTGATTATGCCTAAGTTAGCTATTTACAAAGTTGACCAGAAGTCCATATATTTAAAGCTTCTCAATTATACTAAGCAATAACAACGTAATGCAAATAATCGTTTTCACTAAAGATGTGCACCGAATAATTCTTAGGAAAACTGATTTACTGAAACAAAAATTAGGAGTGACATTTTTTCACTTGTTGACTTTGATTGTCTTTTATTTTTTTCGTGTTGAATGGAGGGGTGGGCCTTATAACCCAATATTCACTCATAAAATATATATTTAGCAAATCATCTATTGACTTACAAATATTTAGTAAACATAAACTTAAAAAAAAATTACCTGAGAAAGCAGTGTCATTTTTGCAAGAGATGGTTTACTTCTTAGAAGACACTGAGCTCGAGCAAGAGCTTCGAATCCTTGAGATACTTTTTTCTTCTCAAAGCCAATCTTCGCAACTGCACACTTCAAGAAAGCACCAATGGTAAGGAAAGGGTAATAACAAGAGTGCTACAAATTCAGGGAGTAATTTTCCTACCTATCTGTCTGCATGTCTTACCTCAGCTAGCGCCATAGAAAGAATCAAGTCATCAGTATATGGCTTGGCATTTTGGTGCTGAAGACTTGTCTGTCCAATCTCCAGCACAAGCTTTGATTCTCCAACCTGAATAACATGAATATTGAAGTAACAGTAAAAATATTTCATCAAAAGATAGAAAAAGTCTAGCAACTCAATCATTAGAAGAAGAAAAATAGAAGAACGACTATTCATTTGCGAAAAGTACCTCTTGAAGAAGGCAAAGAGCACCTGGCAACCAAGACCATTGAATTCGAAGTGAAGATTTAGGAGGGATCTTTTCCCTCAGGTTACCAGCATATTCTGGCTCAAAAAGAAGCTTATCCCTAACATCCATCAGAAGATCCTGCAAAGCAAAATTAGATAAGAGCAACAACCCTACAATTACTTTATTGCCATGTACATCAACAGCCAAATTTGGCAAAACTTGGTAATCAGCTAATCACAAAGCACAACTGGTCCACACCTGACGAGCTGCAACAACATCAATTGTGTAACCTTCATCAATTTCTGCATTTTTCAAACCCATAACTGCCTTAACTATTTCATCTTTCTCAGCCCGATCAGGAACACCAATGAGCTGCAAGATGACATAACTGAGTGTTCAATGGGCAAGTATAAATCTTAAGAAAATAAAACAAAACTAGGACAGGATTTATAAAAACTATAAAAAATCATCCTAGCTGCTGAACATTCCCAACTACCACGTCCAATTTACCAAATTGCAGATTATCACTGTTCAGCATGCTTGTCTAATATTACAAATTAAGCTATCAAACCAACACTGTTTCGTTTTTCTCTACTCAACAGTAGTTTCTGAAGCAGTCTGTATCAATAATCACATTGCATACTATTTTTTACGAAAAAGCACAAATTCTAACCGTGAAACAAAACAATATTCTATCGCAGAAAATTTCCCAAGATGATTACCGATCGACATCGACCAATGAGAACATGAAGACATTTTCAGTTTCAGAAAACATTTTTATTGATAATTTTCATTTTCATAAATAATTACATAAATGTCTCGCTGTCGTTACTTATTTAACATTTCCAAAGTACTTGCATTAAAAAATTGCATCGTTAAGCAGAATAAATAATTATAAACTAAACAATAACATTTTCTAAATCGAAACGCAAAAGATTCTCCTTGACCTTACTTACCTATTCCAGTCAAGTAAAAATAAAACAAATTTAAAAAAGGAAAAGCAAAACACACACAAAACGACAACCGCAGCGAGCTCTATCACCTGGTAGCACGAAACCGGGATTTCAATTCCAACGCTGGATTTCATCTGCGCATTGTCCACAACGCGAGTATCAACCGACTTCAACTTCCTCCTCTCGAGCACAACATCGCTCTTCCCCGCACGCAACGAAAAGCAAAACGACGCCGAATTCACTTCGCCATGAGAACCGGCGAGCGAAACTTTGTAGTCACAGAAACCGATGCGAGCAATGCCGCGGAGAGAGGGAGCGATCGCAGCAGCGTAAGTGAACGCCATGAGCTAACACTCATTCCCTACCCTAAAACCCTAAGCAGCGAAAAAGCGCTTCAATCAGCTTCGGCGACGCGCGTTTTCTTCGAATTGGAACTCGAAGATACTCATTGCGCGAGGTGGAATCGGTGGTTCGGGAATGGAATTTGGAGAGAAACAGGAAACGTGAGAACAAAGTGACGAGTGTGGAAAACGTTGTTGCAGGGATAAAGAAGGGAGCGAAATGTAACGGAAAATTAAGAGAAAATAGAAGTTAAGAAAATTTCCTATAACATACAAAATTTAGAACTTAAATGTCTTCAATGGAAATTTCTGGAGTTACTCAAATACTATGCCACCGATTGAACCGTATTTTGGGATTTAATTTAACCTAGTGTTTATGCCTCTTTTGAACACTGATAACATGATAATGTCTCATTTCTTTATTAATTATATACTAATTATTAGTATTAATTATTAACTAACAATTATATGTATATATAAGGATGTTATAATACAACTTTTTACTATTTTACTAATAAAATATTAATGATTTTCAATTAATTAAATTAAGAATTAATATATTTTAAAAAACTAATTAATTTAAATATAATTATAAATATATTTTTAATTTTAATAAAAACTTAAAATAAAAAGTATTTTAATAAAAACTTAAAAATTATTGTATAACTCTTCCTAGAAATAATAGGTCTTTGTTTTTAGAATTAAAATTCTGATTAAAATTTTTATTGTAACTAAGTTTATTCCTATATACATACTTTCTATTTTGTATATTTTTATTGTATGATCTATTTTGTATATTTTTATTGTATAGTTGAGGTGTGTATATTTATTTGTAAATTTTAATTTCAAAATTTTTCAGTTATTTTTATATTGTAATATGTGTATAAATGTCTTTCATCGTTTGTATGATCTATTGTATTCTTATTAAGAAGTTATCCAACATGAAATTACTTCATGATTTTTGTAGAAGAATCTCAATCTCTCATTTTTTTAAACTAATTTTCCCTTGTTACTACTTAAATGATGAAAACATTTATCTAAAAAAAAGTTTGAAATTCGGTTCCTAATTTATAATAATCTCTCTATATTTTAAGCGGTATATAATTTAGATATAATACGCATTATTTTAAATTTAAGATATTATTAACAAGTTTCTTCGATAACTTTAAAATTTATTAGTTTTCTAAATTAAAAATAACTTATATAAAATAAAAATAGAAAATTAAATGAAAAAAAAATTATTTTACTCTTTTTCTTCTTATATTTATATTTTTCTTATAATCAATAATTATGTTTTATTATCCACCCATGCACACATGTTCCACAATTCCACCCTAGAATTTCTAAAAAAAATAAAAATTCTGAAGAACTTTACCAACCGCGATTTACAGGAACACTGCCCCACAAAAAACGAAGCTCCCATGTTCCCGCGTGTCAGCAGAGCATAGCAGAAGCAGAAGCAGAGGCAGAAGAGAGCACTGAAAACGAGCTTGATTATTAATGGCGCGAGGGAAGGCGAAGAAGAAGGAAGAAGAAGACACTGAAGTCACAAACCCAGAAACGTTAGAGCGCAAGAGGCTCAAATCTCTGGCCATTTCCAACAACATTCTCTCGGAGACCCCTGCTCGCAGCTCCGTTCTCCTCAACCCTTCCTCCGTCGTGGCCAAGCACCACGGCAAAGACATCATCAAGAAATCTCAGAGGAAGAGCAGCAGGTATCTCTTCTCCTTCCCCGGGCTAATTGCTCCCCTTGCTGGTGGCAAGATCGGTGACCTCAAGGACTTGGGAACTAAAAACCCCGTTCTCTACCTCGATTTCCCCCAGGTGGGTTTTTTTTTTTATCTGGTTTTCGGGATTTTGAATGCAAGCTGGGGTTTTGGTTTGTGGGGTTGGCTTGTTTTTGAGTTTCAGGAGCTGGGTTGTTGAATTTGGAATTGGGGTTACTTTTATATACTTTTTAATGAATTTGGGTGTCGCTAGTTCGAGTCAATGTTTTTAATTTTAGGATATGGTGAAAACAGAAAACAATAAAAAGTTTAAGATAGGATGTTTTATATTTTTACTATTTGCTATATGTCCATTTGAAAACAAAAAATAAAGTGAAAGCTGAGTGGTATTTTGTAATAAAAAGTGAAAATAGAAAATTAAAACAGTGAACATTTTCTCAAATTTAGCTTTGTTTTATTTTATGTGTGTGATTTAGTTCTTAGATTATTTAAGTTTCTTTCACCTGTTGTAAATGATTTAGTTAACATTTTTTTAAGACTTCTATTTGAAATATGACTGCGATTGCTGGTTTTTAGTATGAGTGTTTACATTGGTTGATTGGCTTCTTTTGAGAAATGTTAAGGAAGGGGATTTAAAATGAACCTGTGAACATGAAGCTTATATGCTAGAATGAATGTTCCGTCATGAGTGGATTTGGTGTATGTTAATGGCAGCTCATAAGCAGGAGTTAAGTACAACATGTGAAGAAAACTTTAGTAACGTTGTAATGGCTCTGCCATTTTTTATTCTTGCTATTATTGAATGTATCAATTGAAACCATAACACGATAATTCCAGGACTAATAACAGACCAATGCTATCAGTCGAAGAATACTCAATGATTTAAGGAAAAGAAGTAATTAGTAGAGTAGGAAGAAATTTAGAGAAAAGCTAGAGAGAAGAGTGTAGACTTTGGATACAAATGACCAATGTTTTGTATTGGTAACTGACAAGATGCATTTTCACTTTCACTTTTCAGGGTCAAATGAAGTTTTTTGGGACCATTGTATATCCAAAGAACAGATACTTGACTCTACAATTCCCTAAAGGTGGAAAGAGTGTGATGTGTGAGGATTATTTTGATAACATGGTTTGTTTTTTTACCCTTGCTGGTTACTTTGGTTTGCCTATTAGACATTCATTAATGTTAAGTTACAAGTGACTTATAAATGCTTAGCCAAAGAAGTTCCTTGTGCATACTGGCCTGTCACAGCCTTTTCATTTCATTATTTTATATTTGGTAATTGCGGTATAGTAGACATACTTTCTTTCTTGTTGCATTCTTCGTATCATAAGGCTGGGGCACTATGGGAATTGGATGGAGTGATGCATTGACTTCTCCAGAATATGGGGAAAATTAGCCAACGGAACTAAACTTGAGTTAGTGCTGCCATGGTTCCCATTTCATACACAAGGCAGATTTAATTCCTATGTTTATGATATTTAGAGTTAATGTTCATTACCGAATCATTTCTCCTTTGAAACATACGTGTGTGTACATCTATCACCCTAGTATTCTTCCCTATTGTGTCTTATTTTGATTTCTTATTGTATAGAAAGAAATTATTTTATGCACTTCTTTTTTCTTCATTTACTAATTTATATCTTATGGAATTGCACCTTTTGGGTACCTATGTTCCTTATCAGAAATATCTTGATTTTATTAGATTGTATTTTCGGATGCATGGTGGATTGGGAGGAAAGATGAAAACCCTGAAGAAGCCAAACTGGAATTTCCTAAGGAATTGTATGAGGTTAGGAGTTTTTACAATATAATAGATGTCTGATCATAAGAAGAAACTTTTGTTTTCCTTGTTTTGCTTGAAGAGATAATGAACTCCATTTTTGTTGTCTAATCTTGGAACCTATTTCAGGGGCACCAAGCTGAATATGACTTCAAAGGGGGTGCAGGTGCAGCTTCAGTAGTCAATCAAGGGGTTCCCAGAACCAGGATTCAACGTGCAGAGCCAGAGTCACCAAAGACTCCCTCTGAAAATGAATTGTCAGAAAGTGAAATCAATTTAGAAGATACAAAGGAATTGGCTCCATCCCGGCATTCAACCAGAACTGCAGGAAAATCATATAAGTATTAGCCTCTTCTATATTAGTTTACCTAATGTGTGTCGTTTTCCAGCCACGAAGTTACAAAAAGAACTGTTGTGTTATTATGTTGAGAAAAGCACTTTTGCCTAAAAAATTAATTCTAATGTTTCATTCTAATGTATGACTCAGTAAAGATTGTTGCAATTTTTTACTGAAAGTCCTATTCATTTAGTTTTTTTTGTTGGACCAGATTTACTGAGATTTCGTCCAATGATGGTTCTGGTGAGAACAGCCCTGATCTTTCTGATCATGAAGAGAAAGTGGCAGAAGTTGATATTTCTGTAAATGATCATAATAGCTCAAATATCCTTAGTCGGTTGGGTATCCCCTTAAAATTGTGGGTTAAACATGCTAGATGTGTTTTTTCGAACAATTATTTTTTATAAACGTTGTCCCTATATTTTGCTCCTCATTTCGAATGTTATACCAAACTAACCCTTATACTTTATAGTTCATTCAATGGTTTCAACTTTAATTTTCCTTTTGGACACCTGTTGACCTGGAATTTATAATCTGATTGATCTTATATATTTTATATTATCATTGAATTTGTACTTTATATTCCTTAACTCACAGATACAGAAAAAGACTTTAGCTTTTGACCTTGATAATGAGGATGATGGACCGGTACATCAACTCAACAAGGAAAATAATGAGTCTGCATCTAGATCAAAATATAAAGAAGTGTCTCAATCTGCTTCAGCCAGTGCATCTACTGAAGTTAAGCCCAGTAATCGAGGTCCACTTGTTCAGGCTACTATATCCACATTATTCAAGAAAGTGGAAGAAAAGGTAAGCTTTTGAAACAGTTTGCATGAGACCCTGCACTACAAGCTTTAAAGAAAGGTGTTAAATTGTTTGTTCATCCCTTATATCTTTTATAAACAAATAACATCTCTATGTATGTATTAGTCCCCCAATTAATAAAGTCCACAGGAAAGGTCTGAGCATTAGAGAAACCGAACTCTATTGTAACTTGTAATTAGCTGAATAAAGAATATGGAAGAGGGGATGCAGGCTAGTTATGATCAAAATGATAGCATAAATTGAGAGGAACCTGAGGCTCGATTTTGACAATTGGAGTTCTTCTGGGGATAGAGGGCTCTCAAATTTCCCTCAGTTGTATCTCATTCTTTCCTCTTCAGGAATTCTTTCCAAGAGTGTCAGAGCAAAGGTTCACATTTGCATTATCTTTCTTTCTTCACCCATACGTAGCGGTACCAGTACCTTACAACATGTCAATATTAGGATCCTCATATTTCATCATACATACTCAAAAATATCGTGGTAAAATAGCATATAAGGTGTGTGATGATGCGTTGAAGTTGTATATTTAATCTGTCTCTAAGCAACTATGGGATAGGTTATCTTGATCTCATGCAAGTCATTAGGCTGTTATTGTTTGGTCTTGTATTAGAGGTTTAAAATGAAATCCTGCATTTTACTATGGGGTCCAACATTCTTATAATGCCTTCTCCTTTTGATATTGTTTTACTCTTATTTTTAGAAGATTCAAGGATGTACCTACTATACTGGGGCAATGGAATTATTCTGGGTATAGATATCTTAGGGACTGAGATTCATACAAAATGCATGCAATATGAACATATGATAATATTTGAGTCTTATCTTGTTTATGTAGCTAAGTATTCATTTATATGAACTAGAAAGAAAATAATTGGCTTCGTTGCCAGATTTTGTTGATGTTTGCAGTTTGCATTTGTTAGAATCATTATTTCCTAGTATTATCATTAGACCTAAGAATAGGGTATTGAGTGTGGGAAACCTCCTACAGTTGTATCTAGATCTGCACCTAGGGTGTTGAGTGTGGGAAACCTCCTACAGCTATATCTAGATCTGCACCTAGGGTCCTAGTTGCAGTCTCTTACTTAGTCTTTTGTGTCTCATTGTATCATATTTCCATGATAAATAGAAGAAAGGGAGAAGGGTCCCATAAGTCCTGAAGATATATTTTTTCTCTATTAATCTTAAGTTGGTATAAGAGCGGGTCGATCCCGCTCTGGTTTCTGACTGATCTTGTCCACCACCTTCAGTCACCACTGTCCGCGGCCGTCCAAGCTCAGTTTTATAACTATCTGAAGCTATCCTCTCAAATGTGTCTTCTTGGGCTATTCCCGTCTTCAGAAAGGGTATCGTTGTTACTCTCCTGAAACGAAGAAATACATAGAAATACTACATGTCTGCCCATGTCACATTCTTTGAACTGACCCCTTACTTCTCTCCATCTGTTAAAGATGTTCATGTCACACAGCAGGATCTCCCTATTCCAGTGGTTGAGTACAATCTTTCCAATGTCTTTGTCAATCCTGGTCCAAGTCTTGATCAAAGTCCTCCTGAACCATCATCTCCACCTATTCATGCCCCCCATACGGATAATCCCGTTTTCCAAGAACATGGTGAATCCCCTACTTCAGATGCTTCTCCCTCGTCCCTTGATACCACGACTCCTGGTGAAGGTGATTCAGGCTAGCCCATTGCTCTCAGAAAAGGTATTCGTTCCACTCAAAACCCACATCCCATTTATAGTTTTCTTAGCTATCTCAGATTATCGCCTTCCTATTGTTCCTTTTTATCTTTAGTATCTTTTGTTGTTATCTCCAAAAATGTGAATGAAACACTTGATTATTCAGGATGGCGAAAAGTCATGATTGCAGAGATGCAGGCTCTTGAACACAGTCATACTTGGAAGTTCGTGTCCCTCCCACCGGGTAAGAAGGCTGTTGGTTGCCGATGGGTGTATGCAGTTAAAGTTGACCCTGATGGTCAAGTTGATCAACTCAAAGCTCGATTGGTTGCAAAATGATACACTCAAGTTTATGGTCTTGATTATTGTGACACTTTCTCTCCCGTGGCCAAGATGACTACTATTCGTTTCTTCTTTGCAATGGCAGTCATTCGTCACTGGCCACTTCATCAATTGGATATCAAAAATGCATTCCTCCATGGTGATCTTGAGGAAGAGGTTTACATGGAGCAACCTCCTAGGTTCGTTCCTCAGGGGGAATCTGGTATGGAATCTGGTATGGTATATGTTAAGGTTCCAACATAAAACCAATTGCTGCTGCATTTTTTCTTAATCCTAAGACGGCAGCCTACATTGCTGCTGCATTTTTCTTAATCCTAAGACGGCAGCCTGCATTGTTGCTGCATATTTCTTAACCCTAAGACGGCAGCCTGCATTGCTGCTGCATTTTTTCTTAACCCTAAGACGGCAGCCTACATTGCTGCTGCATTTTTCTTAACCCTAAGACGGCAGCCTACATTGCTGCTGCATTTTTCGTAATCGTAAGACGGCAGCCTACATTGCTGCTGCATATTTCTTAACCCTAAGACGACAGCCTGCATTGCTGCTACATTTTTCTTAACCCTAAGATGGCAGTCTGCATTGCTGCTGCATTTTTCTTAATCCTAAGACGACAGCCTGCATTGCTGTTGCATCACACCTCCTTGCTATGATGTCAAGGGAAGAGGAAGTTGCGAATCCAAACCCAGAAACAGGGAATACCCAATCCCAGCAATCTGGAGAACTGCAGAATATTCATTCTGCATATAGACTAAATGGAAGAAATTATTTGAAGTGGGCCCAACTTGTTCGTACAGTGTTGAAGGGAAAGGGGAAGTTGAGTCTCCTGATGGAGTCTGGACCTAAACAGGAGGATCCCAAGTTTACTACATGGGATGAAGAAGATTCAATGATCATGGCGTGGCTGTGGAATTCAATGATTCCAGAAATCAGCGACACCTGCATGTTCCTTAATTCGGCAAAAGATATTTGGGATGCTGTAGAGCAAACCTACTCTAAAGCCAAAGATGCTGCTCAAATATATGAAGTAAAGGTGAAAACTTTTGGCCCATGACAATAACCGGAAACATGTTAGGCTTTGGCTCTGATACCATGTTAAGGTTCCAACATAAAACCAATTGGCAATATGTGGAGTAGCCTAACATGTATTTAAACCATACCAAATGATATGAGGTAGGCGATGTGGGACTTTCAACACACCCCCTCCAACGAAGCCTGCCGGACCAGGCAAAGGGTACTTTTGACCCAACTAAAGGGCAACTTTTGGCCCATGACAATAACCGGAAAGATGTTAGGCTTTGGCTCTGATACCATGTTAAGGTTCCAACATAAAACCAATTGGCTATATGTGGATTAGTCTAACATGTATTTAAACCATACCAAATGACATGAGGTAGGCGATGTGGGACTTTCAACAGTATATAAATTGCATCATTCTCTATGTGGCCTCAAGCAATCACCACGTGCTTGGTTTGGAAAATTCAGCTCCATTGTTCAAAAATTTGGGCTAAGACGTTATGAAGGAGACCATTCTGTCTTTTACTGTCATACATCTCTCGAGAAATGTGTTTATCTAATAGTATATGTTGATGATATAATCATTACAGGAAATGACACTACTGGAATATCTCAACTAAAGGAGTACTTGTGTAGACATTTTCAAACCAAGGATCTTGGAAGCCTCAAATACTTCTTGGACATTGAAGTAGCTCAGTCAAAAGATGGAGTTGTAATCTCTCAAAGGAAGTATGCTCTTGATATATTACAAGAAATAGGCATGATTGACTGTAGACCAGTAGACAGTATTATGGACCCAAATCAGAAGCTAACGACAGAAGAAGGTGAATTATTCTCTAACCCAAAGAGATATAGGAGGCTTGTTGGAAAACTAATTTATCTTATTATTACGAGGTTTGATCTATCTTTTGCAGTTGGAGTGGTTAGTCAATTTATGCAGACTCCATATCTTGGACATTGGAATGCTATCATCCGTATTTTAAGGTACCTCAAGAAGGCTCCTAGACAAGGTTTACTATATGAAGATAAAGGAAATGTTCAAGTCTTTGGGTATTGTGATGCTGATTGGGCAGACTCCCCTATTGACATACGCTTTACTACAGGATATTGTGTCTTCTTTGGAGGAAATGTTATCTCATGGAAAAGTAAGAAGCAAAATGTAGTGGCCCGATCATCCGCTGAAGCTGAATATCGGGCAATGACGTCTCTCACTTGTGAACTCATATGGGTAAAACAATTTCTTCGGGAGCTTAATTTCTATGAAATCCAAACCATGAAGATGTACTGTGATGACCAAGCTGCTCTCCACATTGCATCAAATCCGGTGTTTCATGAGAGGACTAAACACATAGAAATCGACTGCCATTTTGTTCGGGAAAAATTAATGTCCAAGGAAATTTGTACTGAGTTCGTTGGGTCAAATGACCAACTTGCAGATGTGATGACCAAGTCATTAAGGGGACCTCGGATTGAGTTCATTTGTTCCAAGCTTGGTTCATACAATTTGTATGCTCCAGCTTGAGGGGGAGTGTTAGAATCATTATTTCCTAGTATTATCATTAGACCTAAGTATAGGGTGTTGAGTGTGGGAAACCTCCTACAACTATATCTAGATCTGCACCTAGGGTGTTGAGTGTGGAAAACCTCCTACAGCTGTATCTAGATCTGCACCTAGGGTCCTAGTTGCAGTTTCTTACTTAGTCTTCTATGTCTCATTGTATCAGATTTCCATAATAAATAGAAGAAAGGGAGAAGAGTCCCATTAGCCCTGAAGATATATTTTTTCTCTATTAATCTTAAGTGCATTTTCAATGAGTGGACCTGTGAACTATTTGTGTATCCTTATCTCTTCATCAATGTTTTAAATCCTGGATAGCAGCCAACTCCAAAACCACTATAGTGAGACCGAGTGTAGCAAGATAGCCACTATTTTGAAATTTTTATTTAGTTAATATAATTTATATTATTATACATATAAATTATAAACAACGATAAATTACTCAAAATTAATGATATTCATAATTGAAAATAAAAAGTTGTGGGTGTTTTAATCAAAACATACAATTAAATACCAACAAAAGTCAAATACAAGTTTCCTAGATATGAATCATCAATCATCTTCTAAATCCAAGTCTTATTATTTTCACTATTATTACATCTTTTATCTATAGATCTCATTTTTGGATATTAAACTCTCAGAAACAGCCTTCCAAAATAGCCCTACCTAATGTCTGTTTTTCAGTGGGATTTTTTGTAATAAACACATAGCACTGCTATAACACCTGCTACAACTGTGATTCAACCCGCTATGCTGTTTTCTATAGCTACTCCGCCCAATACCAGTATAAAGGGGCCATAGACTGCTATGTAAACCTGGTTTTGATGTATTGCCAATAATTTATAAATCGTAATGCAGAGTGAATTTTCCACCAAACACTGAAATTTGACAAGTTCATATTTATATCTATGAAATTTGACAAGTTCATCTTTATAACTGTGAACCTTGGATACTTCATATGACGGAAGCATAATATGAGATTGATACAGAAATACAAGAAGAAATTCATAAAAATCAAAGTAAGATATGGGCTAAATACATTACAATGAATTTTAAATGTAAAAAAATGTACTTTATATAAATGCATAATATTTGTAAATTGATATTGGTCATTTCTCACTTATTGGTGACTATTAATTAGTGATAATCATTAGGGGGTAAGTGACCTGGGTTGGGAATAAAATGGGTTAGGTTTACCTTTTTAATTTAGTAACCCAACCCAATTATATATATACATATATATTTCATTTTGTTGCATGAGGATCAGTTCTATGACTACATCGTCCAGTTCAACCAGCCAAAATTTAAATGGTTGAACCTGAATCAGATGTCATGCCAGTTTACTGTCTGCCAAGTTTTTTTTAGATGTTGATTTTAAGAATCTATTCTAAAATTTGAAACTTGAATTAAGAGGTTGGGTTGAGCCACACCCATTTTGCAACTTATGTTGTTTTGGGAATCTTCCCATTCTGTCCCAAATTTGTAAAGCAAGGGCAGTTGAAAATGACTGTGATTATGCAAAATAATTACTTTCACACCATTTACCAAGCTATTATTATTTATTTGATCTCTTTGATTAAACCTTTTTAGGAACAGATAAATGGTTCCTGGTTTATAAATCTATGAAGTATTTCTACATGATTTAGGATACTGAAATTTTACAATGATTTTACCTTCTTAAAATGATCTGAATCATATACATATTGCTTGGTATGGCTCAACACTGGTCAAATTGATTATCTTACAAAATTCTTATATTTTTCAGAAGACTCCAAGAAATTCAAGGAAATCTCCATCATCAAAAGGTTGTACTTTCCTAGTTTGTTTTACATTTTGGCAAGCAAGATTATAAAGATGGAATAACAAAAGATATTAATTTTTTTCAGCTTCTGGCAAGAAGTTGCAGCCTGCTGGTTCAAAAAGAAAGCTTGATCTGGTTGAATTCTCATTTTTCTGAATTTCCTGAATCTCTTTTTCCTGAAGTGGGGACAAGAATTATACTTAATTGGTTATAAGCTTTCCTATTGGAGTAGGATACATACTGATTTGTTGGCTATTGTTTTAGGATGAAGGATCCAAGAAAAGGGGAAGAAAGACCAAGGACAAAGATCCTGGTGAGTATTCTTCCTTCTTCCTACATATCTTCCAGTGACTGTGTTGTTATCATTATTGAAAGGTAGTAATTCAAAGTGAATGAGTACGCATCTCTTGATATTTGGTAATTAGACCACACTGGAGAGAAAATTGTTGGTTCCTCATAGTGATGCTTGTAGTTATAGAAGGTAGCGACAAGAACCCAGCCAAATGTAGGCTACATGCATATTATTGAAGCTGTTTTATGCAAGAAATATTTAAATTTGTGAATGGATTGGTTTGGCCATGTTTAATGTGCTCATTAATACATGGTATTAAATGTTCTCATGTTCATTATAGTTGCCACAAATGATGATAACTCATTAAATTTGTCAGCAATATTGAAGGTTGGATTTGTCCCAATGGATTTCCTGACGTTCCTCTCTGAAGTTTAGAGATTTTTGGTGCCAATGAAGAGGCTAAAAGTCTTTGGCAATCTTCAATTTGAATTTTTTGGTATCTTTGGTTAGAAAGAAAGTTTAGAAATTTCACCAGTCTGAGTGTCACATTTGTATTTCATTTGGAACAGAGTTGGCCAAAGGTCATTTTAAGAGGTTGTCTTTGGCGGGTCTTCAATGTGATTGCTGTTGTGTTGTAATACATGTTTCACCTGCTTAGTCTCTGTTGCTATCTTCTTTCTCAGTAAATTATTTGTTCATAAAAAAACAATAAAAAATGTTAGCAATATAATGATCCAGTAACAATAAGTTCTTTTACTTTAAATAGCCAGTATTGTAGCTAGTCTGTCAGATAAATGTGGGCGTGGTTGATGCTGTCAAACTGATATACTATTAAGCTTGCTTTGTGATGGGATTCTTCCAGCATATAATCAAATCAATGGAGAAAACTGAAAGATTATTGAATAATTTTCTAGTTGTTGTAGTATCTGTCTAAATATATTAAATCATTTATATCCAGCTGCATTCTTTTACATATAACTAACAATCTACATTTAAAATTTGTGTCTTAAAAGAAGCTGTTTCATAAATAAAATTTGGCAAACTTACCATGCATGTGAATTTTCTAGGTAAAAAAACCAAGGCGAAATGCAAGGAATCCGATGTAAGTTTTTTTTCTCATTCTCTAAACTCCATACCTTTTAGTGATTGAATATTCTTGAAGAGGGTTCTTATGTTTCCCGGCAACTGATTGGAAAGTAATTGTCAACTCTTTTATCTATTGGCTTCTCTCATCTTTTCAAGGGGTCATGCTTTGCTTTCAACAATTGCTAGCACTAATTTGTCTTCTTTAATTTCTATGTGGCTAAACTTATCTACTTCAATTTATACTTCTAGGAGCACTCTTGGACCGGTTTGTACATATTGAAGTCAACATCATTGTTCCATTTATAATTCCCTGATAATTTTATATTGTTGTTTTATTATTTGATGCTCCGAAATATCTTAAGTAATAAGAAACTTTGCATCAGTCTTACAGTTTCCTTTTAGTCACTAGTTTCATATTCACATAATCAATGTAGGTTGAAAGTGACAATGATGACGATGACATTGAAGAATTTTCAAATGCTTCAGAGGTATTTTCCTAACCTTACACATGCATCCACTCACATGGATGTATGTATCTACACAATCTAACAGTTTTATAAAAGGCATGGGGTTAAACTATATACTTACTGCGTTTATAATATTTGTGTTGTTCAGGATAATGGAAGTGATGAAGACTGGACTGCTTGAGAGTGATCAAAGTTGTGATTGCCAGGCACAAGAATGACCAGGCAAGGTCATGCAAGTGATGTGAGGATACCCTTTTTCTCTCTACAGTACGATTGAACGTGACGACTTGGATTTGCTTACCATGTGGTTATGATGAAATATGAGAATAGTTATAATACCAATACCATATGGTTCTGAGGAAGAGAGAATGAAAAAATTTCGATGTATACTAATCCAATATTTATCGTGGGAGTTATTTGATATATTAATTTAAAAGTGATGTGATTTATCTTTGAATTTATAAAAAATAAATAAATAAACCACGTTGGTTCCCTTTTCTTGACTTGAATTGAGTCAAGAAATAATTTTAGAATTGATGATTGACAGCTGTTTTTGTACACAATGCTCTCACTTTCCTTTTTCTCTGGGTTTTTATCAAAGAATCAATTGAAAAATTAGATTTGAGTCAAATTTCAATAAATACGCTACCCACCTAAATCAGAACTAAGATTTCAAATAAGCACATAGTTTGGTAATTATTAGGCACGTCCATTAATTAAATGAATTTCAAGTATAACATTAAACTTATTCACAATAATTTAGTTTATCCAACCCTAATTTTTCTTTTGTTTAATCTACAGGTAATTCCAATTTAGGGATGCTTTAGGGAATCATTTATTATGTGCCTATCTTTTTGAAGAGTTATCTTTAATTGTGCACGAAGAGTTAAAAATCAGAAAGAATAGAAATGGACTCTTTAATTCAATTGTCATTTTCTAAGCTTCATATAATAATTTAATAATATGACAATTTCCTCATTAAGTCAAAGTCTAATATATCATTTCATGTCAAAAAGGGAAACCAAATAAACAATGTCTTACTTTCAAACTAACTACAAACCAATTTATTGCAACCCAATAAATTATTCTCAATTAGGGTAAGGATTCAGAATTCAAGATTGTCTGCATAGTTCATTTTCGAAATAGGTGGTGCAGGGCATCTTGATTCATGGTCACGTTTTTTATAATTAGATTGGATTATTATCATTAGTCAGATAAAAACAAAACCTGATAAGGTTTAGTTGAGTCAAATTAAAATTGTTAAAAACTCAAGTAGTTGGAGATTAACTCTTCTATTATCAATCTTAAAGGAATTATATCAGTTTGGTCACGTTCTGATTCTCCTCTCTAAAATAACAATCTCTGCAAAATGTTAAAATATCATAATTTCAAAACTTATATGTACTTTTAACCCTCATGTTAGAATAGATTTTACTACAAAATGATGTTGGTTTAACATATAAAAAATTAAAATGAAAAGAAAATTGTGGCCATATTATTGATTCAAAATATCCGTTGTTTCAATGAGATCTTTGAATATCACTTTGGACCAACCACATTTTAATAAATCTCTTTATTGATGATAATTTATGTATTTACCTAACATTCAGATTTTTTTTTGGAGTCTTTGCTGCATAGAAACTTGTAACCACATTTGTCAGCAGTTTTCTGCAACATTAAAGATAGATGGAGCTGCACCTGCAACAGCAATTTAAAATTTTGATAATATATAAAAACCCATGACATGCTCAGGGGAAGCATATTCGAAATGGACATGTTTTTGGGAGCCCCATGTAAAACAAAATGCAATCTAAACATGTGCTTTCTTTCTGATATATAATAAACAATATTTGTTCCTTGTAAGTTGTTCTGTTCAACTAAATGGCTGCAAAAGTTTAAAACCACAAACTTCGGTGATATTACACAAATTTACAAGCCAGTCACTTTTCACAAGATACCAACCAAGTCCAATTCAAACGAGACCTCAATTCCCTAAGAAATTGTCGACCTTCACATTTGCTGCTCTGGACAAGAATTTCATACAAATTGGTGGCTTAACTCCAACCAGGGCAAGTATTGAAGCAGGAAGAGTCCATATTCCATCCCCACATATCAAACCAGAAGCTACAGCTGGTGCAAAAGCGTCTGCCTTAGCCTTGTTAATCCTCTCCCACACGTACAATATCAGACTTCCAACACACATGTCAATGGCAAAATATGGTCCTATGTAGAAAGGTATTGCCATGGCCATTGGAAGTGGAACGAACTTCCCTTTCTTACCAAGAAAATCTTTGAACAAGTTTATAACAACGGCGGCAGCAAAGAATATGTAACACAGCAAGAGGCAGTTTTTTGGTAGGGAGCCAAAGCCTTGCACCCCCAATATGGCCATATTACGGTATATGATTGCATATGGGGCAGGATATTCACTTGAAGATTTCCCAAGGTCAGGAAAAGCTTTGTAGAAAATCCAAAATACAGAAGGAGAAATTATACAACCCATTGTTGTGCCAATTATTTGGCTCACAAACATGGAGCGTGGGGAAGCCAGGGTGAGGTAGCCAGTCTTAAAATCTTGCATCAGGTCTGAGGCTGTGGAAACAATGTTCATCATCACTCCACAGGCAGCTAGGCCTGCGAGAACTCCGCCCTGTGAAGCACCGGCCCATGCTCCAATTGTGAAGATGGCAAGCTTTCCATAGGTGGACGCAAGGGACCAATCAGTTAGGCCACAACCATAAGCATTGCAAAATGCCAAGGTGGGAGCAACTAGATAGATAACTATTATGTAGTACCATTTTAGTTGGGGGAAGATGTGTGGCAGAGTTGCTGTTGAGATGGCAGCAATAGCAACATAACCTGCAACTGCAACCCATGTGGGAATTTGATCTTTAAGGAAAAGTTGGATACGACGCTGGTCATCATACGATAGCTGAGGATTTGAGGGGGAGTCTTGATCTGCAACAGGAAGCACATTCTCCCTTTGTTTCTCTCTGATTTGATGATACAACCCCCAGAGAGTATGAGTTATCACCTTTATGAAGTTGTATAAACCATCTCCTAGGATCAAGGCAATGGCTATAAATACCTGAATTCAAGGTAAATCCATTTAACTGATAGACATTGGAAAGAATGAAAAGTATTGTGGTACTAGATGTTCTTTACATCAAGGAACTTACCCTATAACCTTGAATGCCATGAAGATTGCCTTCGCCAAGGCCTTTACCATACCAATGACCCTCTTTGGTTTTTATGAGGGGCCACATTATTCCCCAAGAAAGAATTCCCCCAAGAAGCACTGATATATTTATGATATATGGGCAAATCATTCCCACTCCAACATATATTGCAGAAAAATCAAAATAAAACCTACAAATAAGTCAATATATGATTAGTCATTCTGGATTAGAAAAAACTTTTAAGTATCTTGCTTTTAGATTTATGCATGTTTACATGTCTAGATAAAGAAACTTCATTTAAAATGAATAAGTGACAGCATACCTGTTATCATACGCTTTAAGCCCCAATGAAGGGAAGGCTTGAAATCCACACTGGTCAGTGGCTGTATAAAACCATTGAAAGAAACCCCATAAAAAACTCATACTGAAGAATTTTCCCAACATTTTCACTTGCTTCCTGGAAGGGTGCAAAAGAAACAGTAAATTAGTCTGAATTTCTAACATCTTATGTAGTCACTTCTAGTAACATGGAATCAGAGAAAATGCCTACTTTGCAAGTTTGGCTCCTTGAGGAGTGTGGAAGCTGTTGATGAGATGTGCAGTTGCAGTACCACTTGGATATGTCAATTTGAAGTCAACGACCATAATCTAACACAAATAACAGAATCATAACTTAATTGCTATCTGAATAAAGTGATGAGGATTAAAAAAAGAAACAATTCATGTTTCTAAATTAAGATCTGTATTGATAAACTTCTCAGTAAATAATTAGAGATGAAAATAAGAAAGTAAAATGAAATTATAAAAGGTCTCTCCTTTTTTATTTTCTTTTCCTATGAAAATTTTTTACTATACTCATTTCAAATTACTAGGAATAAAATGGAAATAATGAACAATGCAATCAATATTTGAAGAATGTGTCAGTGGCATACCTTTCGGAGAGGTACAACAGAGAAGAGGCCAAGAAAGCTAACAACAAAGAGAAAAGCTATAATCCACCCTAAACTTGGGTTCTTAAAATCACTTGTGTCTGTGGATTGGTTAGCTATTTCTTCACTCATTCCAAAGAGGTAACTTCCAAACCCTCCTGTTCATACAAAAATCAATCTCTAAATGACAACTTCAATGTAACTGGGCTAATCATGATATCAAAAAAAAAAAAAAAAACAGTTCCTAGATTACAAATAAACAACACTTTAGTGAAAATATGACCTAAGAAGTTTATAAGAGAAGTTTATTTCATTTTATCTTATTGAAGAAATTTCTCTAAATAGGACCTAAGATTCCTCCACTTGTATAACATCAAAATCTCATTCTAGGGTTTTGGTTTGTTCTAAAGTCCAATATTCTTAAAAAACTAACACAACATTTAAACCAGATTAAACAGCTTGCAATGCTTCATTTCAGAATATGATGCAATACATTTAATTATACATGGTTGATAACAAAAATTATATAATAATGAAAGGTGAGATGGAATAACTCGGAATTTCTGCTGATGTTTAGTTGAAATCGGTAGGAACATTAACAAACCATTCAGTCACATCAATTTGGTTTCCAATGTTCTTGTCATAAGTTGAAATTTCAAAGCAAAGAAAAAGTATCTTTCAAGGCATAGACAAATTTGATGACTTTGTCGCTCATCTCATGCTGCTTTTCCACAGTTAGTATATTCTAGAAGGTCATTGTCTGACAGTGAAAAGAAGTGACCTTTGGTTACAAAAGATTGTGAGGATGTGAGGAGGGCTTTCGATTTTGTTCGGCCAATTTTATTTTATTTTCCAAATTATTCAATCAGTGGAACAGAGAGAGTTGACTCTAAAATCAGAAAATATTCAAAAGAAGAACAGAAATTTATATACCAATTCAATTAACCACTCAAGTGGTTTACTACTTGTATTTTCTCCTTTGAAAACTTTTCTGGAAATTATTCAATAGCGAGAAAGTAATTTCATTTTTTGCTCTGCAGGAAGCAGTTTACAAACTAGGCCAACACTAGAAA